CCGCTTCTAGGATCAATCTACAATGACGATACACAGGTATATTGATTTCCTTGCCGGCTTTTTAGCAATTTCAAGATGTCTTTTAGTGCCATATGTCACCATCAATTTGATTTTTGGGAAGACCCCAAAAAATTTTGATTAGTTCTGTGTCGTCGCTTGCGTCGTCACGTACACATACAGACTGCCGCACCAGCAACTGCTTTAAAGTTTAAACTCGTCCCGTGAATTAGAAGATTCCTTCATAGTCCACCTCACTTTCTCCCAGACCCTTGTCACATTGGCTTAACTCAAGTCCTAGGAGGAAATGTTATTTATTCTAGCTGCTTCTGATGTTCCAAGGTCATGGATAAGTAGTCATGTATATACTCGTGCATTTTATTTAAAGTGTGTATAAGATTTATAAGAAATCATACTCGTTGGCAAAAAAAAAAAAAAAATCATACTATTTACTAATGTCGAACGGTAGGACTTGGCTCCCTAATACATGAGACAATCTGATTATATTCTAATTAATAAATTTCCCTACTTTATTTGTTCCATATTAGTTTAAGTTGTTTTCCTTGATGAATTTACCAGTAACTTACCTGTGTTCTTGGAGCTTGTAGACAGTCCTAACTTGATCAACCTCCACAGCTGGAAAACTTTGTGGACGCTCAAATATTGCATAAGAGTAAAATCCAGAGCTGCCTCGCCTCATTACATACCTGAAAAATCAAATATATATCCCACATAGCAACGCGTGAATATGTAAGGGATGCAAGTGTCTGTTCTTTGTATGGCATGAAAAGAGAGAAACTAATTAAGAATATATAATATTCCACCTTTGGTCTATGTTAATGGGCACATCAGTGCCTTGCATTGAGGAAGTCCATGTCCTTACAAACGAAACCTCCACTTGGCTCTCGTCGGACGCTACAATTGAAAAATGGGTCCCATTGATTCTGCAGTGCAGGGTTTTATATTGTTGTAATTAAATAATCAGTTCAATGAGTTGGGTGCAATAAGATTAGCTTGCGTTACCGCTTTATTTGTAGTTAATATATATATAAGAGGACAAACATGATTATGTACCTTTGAGCAATACTGTTCTTTCCTGGTTCATTCCAAACTACATCAAAATACCTGCGCAACATGAACACAGGAATTGTTTCAATTGTTAGAAAAAGCTAATTAAAAGAACAAGATGGCGAGGAGTATGTACCCTCTGTCGTGTAATGCGTGACGAGTTTCTAGGACATTGTCGATTCCATGGTATGAGATTCCAATGACATAGCCTTGAGGTTTAGACACAGTGAGTTGGACGATGCCATTGTCAATGACCACTTGCTCTGGATCTTCCGCATTCAGCTTAACCGCAGCACTGCTGATCATAAACAACAAACTCAAAAACTTACAATCAAAGCATAATAATATTCAGCCGAAATGTGAAGACTATTATAATATTATTGATTGGACGGGAGGCATGCAAAGAAGGAAGAGTGTGATATGATGAAGGTTCAAAAGGCGCCTCAATGCATGCATGGCTAATTTCCTAGGCAAGGGAAAAGCTCCTAGGTTCATTATGCCCAATAAAAAGACACCTCGAGTTTCAAAACTTCTCATGCATGTGACAAGAGACCACTACATATCAGACAAGTAACCGTGACTCTTTATCTTTCTTTTGCAATATGTTTATCTATAAACTCATGGAAACCAAGAATTTATATACAAACTTATGGAAACCAACAACTCATAACATTAGCATCTGTACAGAATATCTTAATTTAAACTCTCTCTCTCTCTCGCTCTTAAAGTGCCACCATTAAAGCAAAAGCATCTAAGCTATATATACAATTTAAAAAAAAAAAAAAAAGAGACAAGAAGGAGAAGGCGATGGAGGACCTATCTGATATGTTGTCATCAGAAGAACCAGCCAGCAAGAAGCAGAGTTGCATGATCATGATTCCAAACCACCGCAGCATGAAAATCTGCTTCTTCATCTTTTTCGCAATTACGAAACCTGCAAATTTAAATGATAAAGAAAGCTAGTTGGAGCAGAAGAAGAAGAAGAGAATGACAAAGATTATGAAACCTGCAGGTAATTCTGTTAATTGAAGATGAAGACCCGGAAAGAAATTCACAGTTAATCACCTTCTGAGAAACAGAGACCAGGCTGATGGCGACCAATGCAGACACGGTTCTGGAAGAGAGAGGTGGAGAGCAAAGCTTGTGAATGATTACAATGACATTTACTTGTCTCTTCCTATCACTCTCTTTTTCTCACTCTAAACCAAATGAGTTTCTCTTTTCTTTAGGACTTCCCAAAAAAGAGATCGCATTTGCATACTCCCAAGTGATTGGTGGCCTTTTATATACATAACTGCAGCAAGCAGCAAGCAGCAAGCAGCACGCAACTCTTCAGCTTCTTTATCATGTTACCACTTACTACCTGTTGTTTGCTGACTTTTTTAAACTTTTAAATTAATTAATCTTTTTTTTTTTGCAAACTGTTATTTGAACATATACAGATCGAATAATTGTTGGAAAGCATCCAACTCAAATCTCCTATATTGATTATCTGAATTCTCGACATACATTGTATCTAAATCCTCTGCTTCGGTGATTTGAAAAGGAGATGCTAAAGAGAAAAGAGGATAAGGTAACCTTCACATTTTCCCCCTCTTATTATACTTTTCTTTTCCCTTCTTTCCTTTTATCTCTCTTGACATTAATTAGGTTGACCATCAAAAGAACCCCAATGTTATGTTGGGATCTATTCTCTTACCATATATGTTTTTCTCCCTCTGTATATTATATGGAAGAAAATACTAGTTATTGCTATTTATAAGACAGGAAGAGAAGATTTTTCTTTATCCTATTTATATGTTACTTTATTAAACTTTTATCATAAATATATTATTTTGTCCTTTATTTGTTATATAGTACAAATAGTTTTTTTTTAATTATATATATTAAATAGATTTTTATAAAAGGTTAATACAGTTTAAAATTTTTCTTAATTTATAGGAAACATACTAAAATTGTGTTATAAATAGGAAAAATCACAACTTAACATTTAGTAACTGAGTTCTATCTCTTGAGAAATGAAAAAAGACCTACGAGTATTTTCCTTTTCGAAAGACCAATCACCATTTAGAGTAACATTAATGGAGGTTCTCTTTTTAAAAATGCGTTGACTAAACCGCGACTAAAAATTCCCAAAACTGCTGTCGCCTCGATGGCATAAAATTAAAATACTTTTTGGCCAACAAATAAAATTAAAATATGATTATCTTTATTTTTCATTTTATTTTACTTTTGTTCTCTAATCAAATGCTAATAATTGAAATGTATTGATTTATAGTATCTTGAAACAACTAGACTGTAAAAGAATTGTTTAAAAAAGAACAAACAAAAAAAATGTCAACAAAATAGAGAAAACAAATGGTGACAGTAATACTCAATTGAAAACATATTTTGACATTGTCTCAACTGTGTCTTGTTATTCTAATCATAAGGATATCCAAATCCAGGTTTTTTTTTTTAATGTTTTGTTGGCAAAAAATGCTTTTATATTCGTAATATATATAAAAACTACGGCTGGTTGACGATTTCGCATTCCCTAAATTTTTTTTCTTCTTAAATAAGATTGGGTAAATCCAGATTCCCTTGCTTTATTTATAAAGGAAACCGAGCAAGTGAATCCTGGAATTTTCCGCAGGTATCATTGCATTATGAGGTGGTTATAAACTTCTAATTCAATATTCCGAGAAACTCGTTTATACTTTCGAAATATAAAAAATAGCCAAATTGATCTTGCCAACTCCGCTTCCTTCGGAGCCTTGTGGTTATTATTACTATTATTATTTTACAAGTAGTATAAATATTTCCTACTGAAGGCAACCTTATCTTGAGACTGATTTATATATTTATTTATTTTCGGTGAACACCCTCCTACCTTCTTGTTTTTTTTTTCCCCGGGTAACCTTACTGCTACTTTAATGTTTTTCAGATGATGTGAATTGATTACAATCCATACCCATTTCAACATTAGGTCCAAAAGCCTGCCTTCAGTTCTGTTTTCAATCCTTTGGGCCCAAATATTCGTATTAATGAGGCTGCAGGAGACAGACCCCTTGGGTCAAGATATCAACTTGCAGCCGCAAAAATAAATAAATAAATAAATATATATATGTATATATATTTATCAGCATGCCAATTGCCAGATTAACGGACTCCGTTTTGAATTTCTGACCATGTTCTCCTGCCCGCATAAGAAAGTACCGACAGCTGGTTTTAATGCCTTGTGACTTGTTTGCTTGTGTTTTTATTTATGCCTCCATTTGAGACTCATAAATTTACGTCACTGATCACTTCTAAGATCAACCGGTTTGTCTTTGTATTTCCTTTGTTTTGTCTAATATTCGTAACTTGCTAGCTCATGTATTTCCTTTGATTTGGTTTAGGGAGTGTTTGGTTATAAATTAAATTATAATTTTAAAAGTAATTTTATGAAGTAAGGATATGAAAAAATTTTATCTTAAGATATAAAAACACTTCTAAAATACTACCTCGGGTCCTTAATATAAGACCCTGTTTGATTTTTATTTTGATTCTAAATATAAGACATCAATCCACTTTGTCTTTCATATTTATACATTTTTTTTCAAAATAGTCTTTTTAATAATAATAATTCTAGTTAATACACTTGATTAGTAAGGATATTTTAGAAAAGAAAAAACATATTTAGAACAAATAACTAACTCAATTTATTTTTTTAATCTCTTTAAATTAGTCAACTGATTCTTATAATTAAGAAGTAGTTTTTGACGACTCCAATGGGCGTCTTCTACCTCCTCTTCTTTTTGTTTACCACAAAAGCAATCAGTTCAGTACATTAGCAAATGCCACTAGAGTCTTGAATCTTGAAAAGATAGTACAAACAAGAAGTGCGTTACCATCACCCACCTCGGCATCACCGGTTTTTTACTCACCTGGTATTGGTCTTTTAATCTTGGGGTTCTTTTGCTTGGGGGCATTCTACTCTGCAAAGTCAACATTTTTCATTTCTTTCCCCAAAAATATCCTAAGGAAATGGAACCCCAGCATGTTTCTTCGACGCGATCTTTTCTGGAAGCCATAGGAATCACCAAGCCTGTTCCTGCAAATTGCGATTCCTACGACTTCTACTCCGACATCCTTCGTTCTTGTCTCAAGGTCGATAGTATCCAAAGGGGCCGAATCTCTTGCACCTTCATCGTCAAACCCCCTCTCAGTGTAATCTTTTGTATCCTGTATTTGCATTTGATAGGTAGCTGAGGAAAGTGGTGATGAAGTTGTGTTTCGGAATTCCATATTAATGGCTTCACATTTTAAAAAAAAAAAAAACGATGAATTGCAAAACTACTAGCATTCTTAAAAAGTTGTCTTTACTGATTCAACTTGCAGCATTCAGGGGGAATGATATTGACTCCTCCCGTTGTCATCTCAGCTGCAGATTTAATTTTTCATTCTCTTCATTGGAATTGCAGAACTTTTTCAAATCCCTGCATGGAGGGGCTTTTGCAGCTGCAGTTGAATTGGTGTCAATTGCCTGCGCTAGAACTGTTATGGCTGAGGATAAGGAACTTTTCCTTGGGGAAATTTCCATGGCTTACCTGAAGAAATCAGGATTGTAGAGGAGAAGATATAATCATTTACTGATAGAGCATCTATATATATACAAGTATACAAACGTGGTGTCGCGTGATATGGTGAATATCCTATTGTATCTCTACAATTATTATAATAATAACAGAAATATCATATCTATCGCTATCCCTTATATTTCGCTGATCCCATATCCTTGGCATTATATTCGGTGATCTCCAACACTCCCCCTCAAGTTGGTGCATGTGGATTTACGATGCCCAACTTGTCTAGCAGTCCCTTGAGTCTATCCTTTCCAAGAGCTTTTGTGAACATATCTGCTAGCTGATCCTTTGTCCAAATCTTCTGCGGTATTATTTCTCCTGATTGATATCTTTCTCTTACAAAATAGCAATCCATTTCCACATGTTTGGTGCGTTCATGAAATACTGGGTTCATGGCAATATGTAATGCTGCTTGGTTGTCACAATAGAGAGGAGTTGCCTTTAACTGTGGCTCTCGTAATTCTTTAAGTAACCAGCGAAGCCATATCACTTCACTCACTGCACAAGCCATTGCCCTGTACTCTGCCTCTGCTGATGACTTTGCCACTACATGCTGCTTCTTTGTTCTCCATGAAATAGGCGAGCCTCCCAATGACATAGGATAGCCACTGCATGATCGTCGAGTTAATGGGCATCCAGCCCAATCCGCATCACAGTATGCCTCAAGTCGTAACGACCCTTCTGATGTTAGTAAGATGCCTTGCCCAGCTGTGCATTTTAGGTAGCGCAAGACTCTCTCAGCTGCCACCATGTGTGAGTGCTTCGGTGATGATGTAAATTGACTTAGAATATTCACTGGATAGACTATGTCCGGTCGTGTCACTGTCAAATATTGGAGTTTTCCAACTAGTCTCCTATATCGTCCTGCGTCAATTTCTGGGTCTCCTTCATTATTCTGCAGCTTGCAATGTTGCTCCATGGGAAAATAGCTTGGTCTACAATCGGTCATATTTGTTTCTTTCAGGATATCCATCGTATATTTCCTCTGGCTCAAGATAAAGCCCTTATGTGATTGAGCTACCTCGATGCCAAGAAAGTATTTCAACTTTCCTAGATCTTTGATGCTGAACTTGCGATCTAAATATCTCTTTGTTTCCTGTATCTTCTTCTCATCATCACCAGCAAGTAAAACATCATCGACATAAATCAAGCATGTGACATATGAAGTGGCCGTTCGGTATATGAACAAGGAATGATCTGCCTTACTTTGCGAGTAACCAATTTTAAGAAGAGCTTGAGTGAATTTGAAATACCAGTTGCGAGACGCTTGTCTTAGTCCATAGAGGGACTTCTTGAGCTTACATACCCTTGTCTCCCCCTCACGCGCGAAGCCTTGAGGAATGCGCATATAGACATCTTCATCAAGCTCGCCGTGAAGAAAAGCGTTATTCACATCAAGTTGACAAACATGCCATCGTCTCTTAATGGCGACGGCGAGGATACAACGAACAGTAACGAGCTTAGCAACGGGGGCGAATGTCTCATGGAAATCGACACCCGCTATTTGAGTGAAACCACGGGCCACTAGTCGAGCCTTGAAGCGATCAATGGTTCCACATGGTAGATACTTGATTTTGAAGACCCACTTGGAGTCAATAACATGTTTACCAGCTGGCAGGGGCACCAAATCCCATGTCCCGTTAGCCTCAAGAGCAGCGATCTCTTGCTGCATGGCTTCTCGCCAATGAGCATGTTGCCGAGCCTGAAAATAACTCTTGGGCTCATCGTGTGCATCAATGGCCGCTAGGAAAGCTTTGTGAGAAGATGAAAATTGTGCGTAAGAAACAAATTGTGAGATAGGGTACTTTACCGAGGCACATGACGGAGGGGTGGTGCTAGGCAGCTCAGTAGCAAGGGGGACAGTAGATGGTGGTATATCTGTGATATAATCCTGTAGGTGCTGAGGTTGAGTTCTTATGCGCTCACTTCGTCGAGGTGGTGCTAATATAATCGATCGCTGACCCTGCGGGGCATGATCTCCAACAAGTTCATCATTGTCACATGTGACCCTAACCTCATCATGGCCAATGTGAGGATCATCAAAAGCTTGAGGTAGAGGTGTGGAGACTGGCTGTGAAGGTGTTGGAGAAGCCATGGGAAAATCTGTCTCCACAAAAATGACATCACGAGAGACAAAACGTGTTTGAGTTTTGGGATCATAGAGGAGATACCCCTTTTTTCCTGATGGATACCCAATGAAAACACATGGGCGACCTCGTTCTTCCAATTTATCTGAACACACAGGATGGCGCACATAGGCTAGGCACCCAAAAACCTTCATATGACTGTATGTAGGTGGTGCGGCAAAAAGAACTTCGTAGGGGGTCTTGCCGTTAAGAACTTTAGTTGGTAGCCTGTTGATAATATATACTGCTGTCAGGACGCACTCTCCCCAAAACTCAACCGGTAACTTGGCCTCAAATCGTAGTGCTCGTGCTGTTTCCAGGATATGACGATGCTTTCGCTCAACTACACCATTCTGCTGTGGCGTGTGGACACATGTGGTTTGAAGAACGATGCCGCGGTGTGCATAAAATTCCTTCATTGTACCAGATTGAAATTCTGGTCCATTGTCAGCACGAACCTGTTTCACTTTCTTATTGAACTGAGTTTCAACCATAGTAATGAATGATTGTAGCATGGGCCCAACCTCTGCCTTTGTTTTCATCAGATACACCCAAACTCCTCTACTATAATCATCAACAATCGTTAAAAAGTAGCGATCACCAGAAAAAGATGGGGTTTTATAACCGCCCCAAATATCACAATGGATTAAATCAAAACATGAACTAGATTTTATTGAACTAGTGCCAAAAGGCAAACGAGTCTGCTTCGCACGAATACAAGAATCACAATAATGATCAGTCACTTTATTGAATAAATAGGAACAAAAGGAAATTTGCTTCAGCTTATTTGAGGATGCATGACCGAGTCTTGAATGCCACAAACTTCGCACACCACCAGTGTCTACTGTAAATGCCGCCCCCCCTTGCTGCACTGGCGTGAGGAAATATAAGCCATTCTTGCACCTACCCACACCAATCACGGTCCTCGAACTCAAGTCCTGAATGACACAAAAATCAGCAAGGAAGGTTACTGCACAATTGAACTCTCTAGTAAATTTGCTTACAGAAAAAAGGCAACATTTAAATTCAGGTATATATAAAACATCATCAATTTTCAACTTGGGTGAGAGAACGACGCTCCCTATGCCTTTTACGGGGACCCCTTGGCCATTTGGTATCCGCACAGGTGGAGAATACGAACTCCTTAAATTTGTGAGTTGACTTGCGTCATTGGTGATGTGCACGGAAGCCCCTGTATCAATAATCCATGGCTCATTACCCGAAAAAATACCTGCCATATTAGCTATTGGTTGGTCGTTACTTGACTTAGTGGCTTTGATCTGCAAATTCAGCTGCTGCATAAGCGCCGTATATTGATCAAGCGAGAGCCCAGGCACTGGGCTTTCTCCTTCGCTGACTTGGGCTGCCCTTGGTGTTCCTCGTCTATCTCGCCTGTCCCGGCCAGTTTTCTTCCAATCACTAGGATACCCAACCAAGTCGTAACACTTCTCTTGGGTGTGGCCAAGTTTATTGCAATGTGCACACCTTGGCTTTTCCTTCTTACGATCATGATGAACCTGGAATGCCGCGACCTCCAACGATGGTGACTGTGTAGCCGAGATCAGTTTTTGCTGTTCATCTTCAGCAACGAGATGGTACGCAGTTCCAAGTTTTGGCAATGGATTCATGCTCAAGATGTGAGTTTTGATTGTTGCATACACATCATCTAATCCCATGAGAAATTCATAGAGACGTTCTCTCTCTTTCATCTCTAGTAGCTGCTTATGTAAATCACACTTGCACCCTCCACACGAGCATTTTGGCCACGGTGTAATCGAGTCGATCTCATCCCAAGACTTCTTCAACTTGGTGAAGTACACGGGTACAGATTGTTTGTCTTGTCTCGTGTGAGAGACAGCTCGTCGAAGTTCGTAAGCCCTTGGTGCACTGCTCTTGCCAAATCTTTCTTTCAGTTCGACCCATATATCCTGGGCAGTTTTTGAGTAGCGAACAGTACTCCTGAGTTCTTTATTCATGGCGCTCTTTAACCACCCTTTCACCATAGCATCACATCGCATCCAGTGATTCAGATCTGTAGAGTCTGCCGGTGGCTTCGCGATCGTTCCGTCAACAAACCCAATTTTGTTCTTGGCAAAGAGCACATCTCTCATATCATTCACCCACTCATTGTAGTTACTCTCATTGAGAGGTTCTCCAACGTGCATATGCCCCGGACTATCAGAGGCGTGAATATAGTATGGCGACATCGCATCCATGGCGACTAACGTGAGTACTGATGATTCTTGTGACTGGAAATTTTGTGGCTCAGACACCTAAGCTCTTAGATCAAATTTTCGGATCTCCGCTCTGATACCATGAAGAAATCAGGATTGTAGAGGAGAAGATATAATCATTTACTGATAGAGCATCTATATATATACAAGTATACAGACGTGGTGTCGCGTGATATGGTGAATATCCTATTGTATCTCTACAATTATTATAATAATAACAGAAATATCATATCTATCGCTATCCCTTATATTTCGCTGATCCCATATCCTTGGCATTATATTCGGTGATCTCCAACAACCTATCTGGCGCCATGCTGAATGTGAGTTGTTTTGTATTGAATTTTTACCCGTCTACTGTCATGTATTGTAGATCAGTATTATTACTATATATGGAGTTCAATCCTTCAAATGGCTCATCGTGCTATCATGAAACAAGATTAAAGCTAAAGTTAAGTTAGAAGTCTAGAAATAGTTTCAGTCATGGTCTTTGGCCCTTCACACCAAAGCCATTTGAGGATCAAGTGTGGATAAAACACTAGTCTACATGAAAGGTTTTGAATTTGAATTGCTTACTGATTCAATATGCTCTTTGGTAGTTGCCTTTGCCTGACGCGTGGTATCCCTTCCAGTCTCGTATTGTGGCTCTCCAAACTTGAAGAGTTTGTAATATAATTGCGCGTTGCCACGAGCCATTTATAGGTCGCTATTGCTTTGGAAGAATAGACACTTCAATCGAGGAATTGCACGTGTTATTGTCACTGTGCATGTTTGTGTGAATCGCGTTTCTTGATTATTTCTTAGGAAGGACTTCGATGTTTGATGCATGCTCCTCTTTTATGCCTAAATCTGTTTGCAGACCGAGCTGCAAGTCGATGGCTCAGTGGTGAAAAGTGGGAGAAACGTGACTGTGGTTTTACTTGAGTTTAAACAAAAGAAAACAGGGAAGTTAATCTACGCTGCTCGTGCTACCTTCTACAACCTGCCAGTTGCCAAGTTATGAACATTGAAGTTTCTGTTGAACATACTAAGAGTTGATTCTCAATCTGCTCTTTGGCATAATGATTATTCACTGTCAAATTCAGAGTTTTCGGTCTTGTTATGCTACGTTTGTGTTAGAAGCCTTGACTTTATCAATTAGGAATACTTATCATAGTTCTGTTCTCTCTTCCTCCTCCTTCAGCGTATTTGGGGCTGTTGCTGAGTGGTTTCTCCTCCTTTACTTCTCTGCTTTCTCTTTTCCTTCCCTTTCGTGTTCCGAGTCTTAAACTTTAATCATTACGTACCATCACGTTTTCTTCTGTTAGTTTTTGCCTCCCCTTTCTATGGGCCTCTTTCGAGCCTTTTATGAAGGGCAAGCAGAAACGTTTAGAAATGAAGGAAAGACGAGCAACCAAATGCAAGAGGATGGAGCCATTGTTGCCTTGATAATTGAGAAATTGCTACTTCTTTCTTTTTCTTTTTTTCTTTTTTTGTATGAAGAAAATGCTACTGAGAGAAAGAGATAGAATATAATGGGAAAAAAAATACCTCAAAAAAAAACCAAATGTATTATTACCTCATGTTCTTAATATAAGAGTTAGATAACTAATTAGTGAATATTTTTAAAAAATTAGTTAAATTAATTATTTATAATAAATAGATGTCTTTTTAAAATAGTCTTATTAATTATGTGCATTTAAATTGCTTCTTAATACTTGACATGTGTGATCATCATAGAGATTATGTAAAAGCAAAATGAATAGATATTATAAACAAATTGAACGGAGGTCTTATATCTAAGACAAACCGAATACTACCTTTGGTCCTCAGTATATGAGCTAATTATCTAATTTGATTAAATTAATAAAACTAGTTAAATTAGTTATTTACCATAAATATGTGTTTTTTTAAAAATATTTTACTAATCAAGTGTATTGGTTAAAACTACTATTATTACAAAGACTATCTTGAGAAAAAAATGGATAAATATGAAAAACAAAGTAAATCAAGAGTTTATATTTAAAACTAAAATAAAAATCAATCAAGCATTTATGTTAAGGACAGGATGTACTATAATTTAACCCTAGTATAATGATTAAATAGGATCATAGCTTAATATATTTTCTTTTAAAGTCAAATAGAATCTCAATTCCAACACCCCCCCCTTTTATTTTGCTCAAAACCGCGAACGATTAGATGTCCACGATTGATCTCATAAAAACTAAGAACTGAAGAGCGTTCTAAATTTCCAGTCCAACCAAAAAAAAAAAAAAAGAAGGATTATAAATTAAAAAAAGTACACTCCAATCAAAGGGAATGTCCCTCTTCATTCCAGGCAAAGAAGCATGAATTTACTGCTTACATTTGCACGGTATCACTCAATATACACAACAAACGGGGATGTTCCTCTTAATTTCGATTCTCTCTTAGTCCCACAGAAAATGTCTGGCAGCCACAGACATGCAAAGCATCTCATACCCCTCAAATGTCAATATACTACTGGCTCTTGGTATATTCCGTCTGCTTGGTCTTCTAAAACGTGGTCTAACCCCGGGGACACTGCATTCTTTCTTCTTCAGTCAACTTGTTCAACCAATAAATCCAGATGACGGTATGCAATCCTGCCAAAAACAAAAGCATGGAGAAGATTATACTATTTTCTGTATTATTAGCATAATGCAATGCATCCACTCAAAAAAAGAAAAAACATAATGTAAAGCACAAATTGGCTACATGATGCACAAACCTATAATTGAACTACATAAATATGGCATTGACAAAGGCCTCTGCATCAAAAGGTTGAAGGTCTTCAACGCCTTCCCCAACACCCACGAATTTCACAGGGATTCCAAGTTCATCTACCACACTGACCTGCCATCAGAAAAAAACCATCATATTCCGCGTCATGTCCGATAATGAGAAAAAATACCAATAACGAATACTTTCATGGGTTATTTCTAGGCAATAAATATTTACTTTGAGCCCCAACCATATAAACTAGAAACATCAGTCAAAATTCAACAAATTACCACACAACCCCCTCTGGCAGAACCATCTAGCTTCGTCAAAATCAAACCAGTGACACCAACAACCTGTATCCATTTCAGAATTAAAAGAAAGAGTCACCGATTACACCAAATAAAATCAGAGGTTTGTCGATCAGGCCTTGATACATGGGCAGGAATAGTTGAAACAATCAAGGAAAAGAGGAGTTAGAAACACTCAGCAATACCATACCCTCAAATAAAGCATATGCAAGTGGCAGAACATTCATTTGGCTGCAGATTGAAGGAAATTAAACACATTCCACAACAAATAGACCTATAAAATCTCATGATTTCCCGGAGGATATTCCAGCTAGAACTCTTGATTCACACTCAAATAATTTACATCATTTTGATCATTGCAGCGAATATTATGGAGGAAGCATCGAAATTATCTTTAATATCCAGATCCTCAACTTCAAAAATAGCATGTCCATTCCGTATACTTAAATTACGCGGATCTTCATATGGTTACAAGAGGGTTTCAAATATGTAAAATAGTCTTTTTAAAACAGAAATATTAAGACAAATACTCAATTTAGAAAGCAGGAGTGGATTTACGTCATTAAACTCTCGTGCTTGCGGCAACATATTCAAACCAGTAGTGCCATCCAAAACTTGAAGAATCTCCTGCAAATATTGTCAAAACTCGATCAAGACAGCTTTAAAAAAAAAAAAAAAAGGTTCTTATACCAAGAAAGTGATTCGGAACATTTGGAAGGGATAACAGGATTTAATGTGAAGACAGCTACAGCTTCAACCCGATCCATGGCATTGATAATGACATGGATACGAAACAGAATGTGATACGAGCACCATGACACGACAAGATATTCTAGTGTTCGAGCACAATTTTAAATGCCATATCATGATTGGCACGAGCGCCAGGTATACATCAAATATTCTAGTTCATACATGATTGGTAAAATATATAAAACGAGTTATAATAAATTATCCTGAACAAATTCCAAATGTAGCAAAGACTACATGATCCCTTCATCTCCCCTAGACCCCAACTATAACGAAGAAAGCTGATTGACTAAACAAGTTCCAAATCATAATCAGGGGATTCACAAGGAAATCTCCTATAGTTTGGCCTGAAGAAACTGGTCTACTAGGATTACAATTCAAACCATTGGATCTAACAACAAATCACATGCCGACCCGTACCAACCAACCCAGTTAGATTATCTAGAACTTGACCACTTTTCATGCTATTGTTCATGCAGTGACCACTACTGTACACAGGTTCTTAATAGCAGCCAAGACTTTTTGGGAGGTCTTGGCTTTAGATTCCTCTAGAGGGTGCAGTAAGGTTTTTCTTTGGGTTTTATATGTTGTCCTTTAGTCCAGTCTTTTCAATTGTCTAATTTATTTATTTTTTTGTGCAACAAATAGGTACTAATTAACCTCTGCAAGGTTCATTTGGGTTTCTCATTAAAAAAGACTATATTTCTCTGTTTGTTTTCTCTCTTAGAGGAATCAATTTCAGCTCAAATGCAATCAAACCCCAGAATTGCGGTCCCTTCCCTTCCTAGGAGACATTCTTAAATGCTTATGAGTTTGCATCTGATAGTTCTCTAATACAGTTCTCGATATTTTCTTCAACGTCACAGATCGAGGGGTTATCTTGGAGCCCTAATACTCAGTTCTAGCCATTCACTGTGAACTACAACTCTGATTTCAGGTTGTTTGTTACTTCTGCATCCCCACATCACACAGTACTGGCAATGGATAAGAACTTTGAGGTATGATCTAATTAGCTGCCTAAAAAACTACCAATTACCAGCAACCAGAGAATTAAGAAGAGCAAAAAGTTGAATGCGTCAGCCACTTGAGCTTACATTGGGTGCACCAGCAACTACTTTACCAACGGCCTTTTTACAAGAAATCAACTCTTCCATTAGGCTGTAGTTGGTGTGAAGACCTGAAAGGACAAAAGTGAACAGCATTACAAATATAAAACCACCAAAGGAGTTCAGTGAAGTACACAGTAGCTAGTATTGAGTTTCTTCACTTACGTCCAGATGTATCACATAATACAATATCATAACCTTGTTCTTTCCCCTTTTTAACAGCCTGTGATAGCACTGCAAGTAATATGATAAGCTTTAAGTTTTATCCATCACATATCATCTGTAGCAATGAACAGTAACAAAGACTAGAAACAAAGTGTAATTCAAATGCAGATGCTACGAAACTTGAATATGAACAGTAGATTTCGAAGACCAATACAAATCCATTTACACCTGATGATGCTTTGGCCTTCTCATTTTCAGCAACAATTATCTCACATGCAGTCCTCTCAGCCCATATTTCCAGTTGGTCACTGGCAGCTGCTCTAAATGTATCACCAGCTGCCATCAATACCTATTAGAATTGCAAACATGAGAGATGTATGATTCTCCCGTGCAGTATTGAAGTGACAGGAGGCAATATACCAGCAAGTATTATACTTCAAACAGAACAACGCCATAATCCTTTTAGTTTACTTCAAAAGAAAGCAACTAAATCAGAGAGTTGATAGCCACACCAAATACAATGAGAGAGAGGGAGGAAAAATGAGGTTGCCTTTTGAAAGAGAAATTTAAATGGCGCGTTTTTATCAAGCATGTAGGATGTTGGGGAAGTGTCAAAAGCATACTGAACCATTCACTAATATTTGAAAATAAGAAGCACTCAACCCAACGAGCTGTTCAATATGCAGATGAAACAGCCACTTTTGAAGCTTCTCTTCTACGACCTCAATCAAACAGGTCACAATAAAGTAGTTACTGGTCCCAAATGAGAGTTTAGACGCAAGCCCTTCATGGAAGAAGGAAATCCAGTGGGTTTAAGCTATCAGAACAGTTGGGGCTTTCAGCAATTGGTTCTCCAAGCTGATCGACAAATTTTAATTCAGAGAATAAAATAATAGCTACAGAGAAACTCAGATAACATATTCCCACCTTAGCCCCTTCATTCTTCAATCTGTAGGCCAACTTACCTGCAAGAGAGATGATCAAATCGGCATGGTTTTGGTTGGTTAAACTGTTAAGATTGTGTTTTTCATTCTCCTTCTATTTGAAGGTTGGGTTCATATAAAAGATTATTAGTTTAAGAATGTAACATGCATATGCAACAATAGCTCTCCAAAAGATTTAAAATCTCCCATCCCCACTAAAGATGAAGAAACATGTACCATTTTCTGTTAGTTCACAATATCTTGGCAGGAAAAAAGTCTCTCAGGTTTTCATTTTGTTATATTGCAAATTATAGGGTCAAGACGTCACGTCCTTCTTACCCAGAGATGTTGTCTTCCCACCACCATTAACACCAACCACCATTATTACCGCTGGTTTCCTGATGACATTAAAAAAAAAATAATTCAATATCAATCACAATCAAAACGCATCCAAAGTGGTTCATAACAATGTCGAACTCAATAGTTAAAGCACATTTCCACCTGAATCCAAGTTGAAGATCAGTTTTACTCCCCTTCCCGGTCAACAAATCCAAAACATTCTTCTTCAATGCTTCCTAAATTCATTTAAATACAGCACAAAACATTTCATATTGCGAGATTAAATTGTTTGGCCTGCAACATGGCATAATGTAGGGGTGTTAAAAATTCCTAAAGTCCAAGGTGCTTACCTTTATCTCATTCCCTGATTTAAGTTTCCCAGACAGTATATCCTCACGCAAGTTATCCACTATTTTGAATGTGATTTTAGGCCCGAAATCAGACACCAAAAGCGCCTGAAAAGAACAATAAGAAATTCCATATTAGAATTTTTCCCAACGATTTATATTTATATATGAATTTATCTTTCACAATTTTCAACCAAAATTCCAAAAATGCTCCACGGATATAGAAATCACGTTGTAGCATTAATTTTTCCTAATCACACTGCTCACAGTTGTCAGAGACACCAGTGCTAAAGGGGCTACTTTTGAATTTAGCTCCCCGGACTTAGGAGTGGTTCAGAAAAGAAGCTACTTGAAGTTAAATGCGATCATTTACAGATAGCACTACGTACTCTAATAATTTTCATTCAAATTTCGTAAGTTTAAAAGCATTTCGCATTCATTATTCAAAGCAAACTTCTAGCTAGCAACCAATACTCATTCTTATGGTCTTCATTACATGGAATCATTTTCAAGGTAAGTAATAAAAGCCCTGAGAATCACTTCAAAACCAAGAATAGAAACCTCCTCGAGTTCGTCGAGGACTCGGTCTGTATCAGCCAGGTTCCAGTAGAGGAGGAGCTCGTCAATGACAGCGAGGTTGTTTCGGGTCTTGGAGAAACCAGAGAAGATCTTGTCTACATCACTCTTCGCCTTCTCCTTTATCAACCGGCCGATTCGCGTGAAAAACCCAGTCTGCCCGGCCGAGCACTTGAACCGAGCAGTATGGGTTCGAGAACTAACTTTTCCGGTTCCAGGGGAGTTGAAGAAGAAAAATTGAGGGGGAGAATGTCTTGAACTGACATAGAAGCGAGAGAGCGAAGCAGGAGAAGTAGCAGCCATTTTTGCTGCTACGAATTTTCTGAAAGAGAGGATAAAGTATTAAAAAAAGATACCGCTTTTAGCGCTTTGTAGCGGGGATGACAAACGACGTCGTTTCCATTTTCCAAGAGCCTAGACGGGCTTTGCTCCCAACGTTTCTCTAGCGTCCGCTCCGTCAGGTGTGTTTCGATAGTATGTCAGTACTCAGTAGGTCATCTTTCTTTGCAGTTTTTATTCAAACTAATGAAGATTATTGTTGATTTGTGTTTTACTTCTTTCTTTGGGGATTGTTTGGGCTAATTTTTGCTCTGCAACATTTGGTAGCTGAGATGAGATGATATTAATTTGAATCGCGTCACATTTCCAAGTCACTGCGTTATTCTTTAGTTATATTAGTGGTTCCCGGTTGCTTCTGCAGGAACACAGGTAGGGAGGTAGGAGAGAGGGGATTGTTTAGTTTTAATGAGGTTTGGGATTAAGGTGCATGTTAAAAGCTGTTCATTGAGCTAACATGGAAGGTTTACCCAATCAAGAGTTGCCTAAAACCCCCTGGCTACACATCAAAATTCAGTTTATACTTTCCCTGTGATTACAATCTTAAAGCTGAGCCACTTCCTACCCAGAACCGCTGGTGGGATGAACCTTGAGGGTAGTTCGACCAAGCTAGGTACTACTGATGAGAAAACACCAAGACCAGGTCCAAGGATGCTCCCCTGAATTGGGGGGGAAAAAATTATTACTTTTCTAATTCAAGTGATTTTTTACATATTTTACCAGAATAAAAAAAATCTTAAATCTCGTTAATTTTATTTTAAAATTTAACAACTTTTTAATTTTAATTTAATTTAATATATCAAGTTCCTAAGAAAATAACAATCCAACAATAATAATAAACATTAGTTCATTCATGTTAAAAATATGATATATGATTATGAGACTCGTAAATAAGAACGAGGGGGAAAATACACTGTCTCTGCAGAGGAGCAGCTTAAGGCTTAAACCTTTTCTTTTTCTTTGGGCCAGAGACTTACACTGATACCTAGTGTTGTTGTCATTAAAGATAGTTCTTCGACTGCTGGGCTAAGGCCCCATGTTTTACGGAGACAAAAAGAGATTTCTTCGACTGACCAAACGCATCGCACTAAATTTATTAACGGGCCCTAAGTGCCTCTATCCATTGATACACTGCGGAATTCGGCCCAGTGAAATATTAGTGGCCACAGCTCGTTAAGTGAACGAGGGGTTAGACTTTCAACACGTGTGATACTGGGTCTTACGTATTATCATCATCACAGATGATTAAGGGAAATTAGGAATAGGCATATTTTAAGGAGCATAATCAAGAGATAATTCAAATTTAGACTATTCAATATTTAGACCAAGTCAGTGAATCAAGAAGTTAATCAGGCTAATGATCGAGTCTTTTGAAATGTTACCTCAAGTCCTGAATATAAAAACTAATTAACTAATTTGAGTTGGTCAGAAAAATAAGTTAAATTAGTTATTTATAATAAATAAGTACTATCTTTCTTAAAATATCATTGTTAATTAAATTTATTGGTTAAAATTATCATTATTAGAAGGACTATCTTGAAAAAAATTAATAAGTAATAAAGATAAAGTAAATTGGGGTCTTATATTTAAGATGAAAATAAAAGTCAAACGTCGATACTATTCTTCTAGTTTCTAAATGCCGTGAGAGGTGGTGGGGGAGGAGCTCTGAATTATACCTTAGCATGAACATTTGGTTTATTCTTAATAGTTGTTCTAATATAGGGTCAAATATAAGAAAAATGGGGGAAGATATAAATGTGAATAGACTAATTCTTTTGCCCGTTATATATAGCTGTAAACAATAGGAATATGAAGGAAAAAGGGGTTGCTCTCAACTTTGTTTTTCTCATTTCCCCTGCCTGGTCAAGCAAATTTCAATACATAGTGGAGGCCTTCCTTTGACTTTTACCAGTCCCCTTCCAAATTAAAAGTGTAGTTTTTGGAAACCAGAGGTTTTTGATTGAGGCACTTTTAAATGATATTATTCGAATAATAATATTCCAGGCAGCGCTAGAGCCAAAACTCCAATTTTTCTTCCCATCTGTGGAGTTTTGTAAAGTAAGTTGACCTGGTTTAAAGCAGATCTTGTATTCCACATGATTTTAAATAATCAAGGTCGGATGCGGACATGAAACATGCCACATATTTTATCTTGACTTTTTTAGATATAATTTAAATGGCTTGGATTTTTTTATTACATCTTAATTTAAATATTATTTGTCATCTTAATTAAATGAACCGAGGTGTGAAGTATTATTCATGTTTTAAAACGCTAACGATTTAAATGAAAAAACCACCAAAAAATAAAATCGAATTTAATTTGGTTATCCGGACGAGATGTAAATGGCATTAGTTAACAACATTCCAAATAATATACACTGAATTGGGACTCGGCTTTACTTATGTTAGGTGCTGAATTTTCCTTTGGAATTTTTGGCAGCCATGAAAATGAACACCAATTCCCAACTCAGGTTTGAAAATTCCTCTCCACGCGAGCACCAAATTGTATTGAAAGAGGAATTTAAGGGATTCTTTGTTTTAAGAGAAAAATTGCATGGCACGCATGTTATGACTGGTTTGTTTTGATATATTATTGCATAATAAATTCAATTATTAAGAAATTTAGAAGGAATATAGGGGAATAATACAATATAATTTGGCAGAAATATTCAGCTTAATGAATAATATGCACACTATTCCTCCGGTCCTTAATATAAACGTATTTAACTAATTTGATTAGATTAAAAAAGTTAGATAAGTTAGTTAATTATAAGAAACATAACATGTTTTTTTAAAACACATAATTATCTTTTTTAATATCCTTCTTTTCTCACTTACTTGATTATAGTGGAGGGAGTATTCATAAGGATAATTTAAGAAAAATTAATAAATATAAGAAATAAGTATTATATTTAGAACCAAAATTAACCTAACAATTAGGTCCTAAGGACCGAAGGAGTATTATTTATTGAGAAAGATGGTATGTGAAATTATTATTTACCCCCGGCATCTATAATGCGTTACATCATGTATCTTTCTGTATGTTACCAAACATGCTTAATTAGGCAGGTGCTTGTTTGGAGTTAAGTAATTAGTCGGTTTATTTTTTGACATTATCCCTAAAAACTAAAGTACTTCTTTAAAATTAAACTAGTTGTGTTTTACAGGTAGACGGTAGCAAAAACTAATCTGGTTTTTCACTTTTGTCATAATAATAAATAAACGATTTGAAGTTGACTGATACACATTTTTCTCTGACCAACAGAGTATAATCACACAATTTCCACTTCATACAATTGCAGGGAAACGAGCAATAATTAAGACTATCTTTTTCTCCTTTTCTTTTAGTTAAAGTGGCAGGATTACCCTTCTCTCTTTTAAATCGCACTTCTAGTAGTCCCCAGAACAAGGGTGTTGACTTGGTTTGACGCGTCCTAATTAATTCCACGAGATTTTGAATAATCTAAATTCAATACAGTACGTGTCTACTAATTGCTCGGTAAAAATATTTGTATAATTTAGTTTAATAACATAGACGGCTCAAATTTAATAATTATTCATTTTATCAAATTTTGATGTCATTATAATATAAAATGCAATTTTTTAAATATATGTAATTTAAAATAAAAAAATTTAAATGGTTGAAAACAATTTGGACCCATCTAAATAAAATTTGCACAGTAATTGCATTCTTAAAAAGCATCCACCGCCAATGACTAAACAACGCACAATTTCCATTCTTAGTAGGTCCTGGGGAATTCGGCAGCTGCGAAAATGAACACCAATTCCCAGCTCAGATTTGAAAATTCCTCTCTCAGGAACGAAATTTCCACGGAACTTCCACCGTCAAGCCCAACGGTCACCGTTTGAATCCCCACTAAAACGTCGCCGTTACGTTCGGCAAACTCCCCTCTCCGTGACACGTCGTTAGTTAGCGGTTCTCCATTTCCCAGGAAGTTTCCCGCACCCTGAACTGCTGAACAGAAACCCCTCTCTCTCTTCTCTCTCCCTTCCCACAACCTTCCCTGCCGAGCACGTATAAAACAAAACCAATTCTCTCCCTCTCCTCCTCGCATCTCCAAAACCTCCACACGTGCAACCTCCTTTCCAGATTCCCAGAGAAACCATGGCCCACAAACTAGAGATCACAGTGTTATCTGCAGAAGACCTCCGAATCAACCGCAAGCTCGTGAAGAAGAACGTCTTCGTCTGCCTTCAGTCTCCGGAGTCGGGCCGGCCGGACGAGACATGGACGACGGGGATGGAATCGGAAGGTGGGAGCCACCCAAAATGGAATGAGAAGGTGGAGATGGAAGTACCAGTACATGCAAGGTTCATAACAGCGGAGGTGAGGGAGAAGGGTACAATGGGGTGTGTTACAAGTATTGGGATGGCGAGAATTCCTGTTTCAGATTTTATGGGAAATTACTTGCCGGAAAGTCGAGTTCATTTTCTGAGCTATAGGTTGTGGGATAGAAAATGCAGCAAAAATGGGGTTATTAACGTTTCAGTTAGGGTTAAATTTTCAGAACAACATTGTCGTACCGTGAAGGGAGTCCCCGTGGGCAATAGTGATTGCTCTGGGGTTGTACGTGGAATTCCAGTGTGGTTGAATAATTACCCAGCAAAGCTTTGAATTTTGAATGTCTTGTTTTTGTCTCGAACCACAAACTGTGAAAAGATAAAAAAAGAAAAGAAACAAGAAGATTAGCAAGCCTTTAATTTCTGTTCTTCATTTAGATTGAATATTTTATATTGAAAAACTATTATGTTCTGTTTATAAGTCATTTCTAGCATATTTCATACATACTAAAAAAACTCCAAACTTTATTAATTCTCGTTTAAAGCTCAATAACTTTTTAATTTTATCCCTATTTAATATACATTATAATTTATGTAGATCAATTCAATATAATAATAAATGAACGGTGAAATTATACACACATACAAAAAACTTCTCTCAATGTATTAT